TAACACTTCTTTTTATTCTATATATGATGGTATTTACGGTGTTGTAATTATACAATGTCCCTTGAACAATTTATCATTTAACATCAGCTATTAGTATGACTTGGTAACCAAGGGTGTAGTCTAGTGATTAATGATGTGGGTGAAAACCTAGAAAACCGGGGTTCGCATTCCAGCAGAGATAAGAAACCATAGGTGATTTCTTTCCTTTTGCCTGAGCCTTGTTGGGAGATTTATCCGGTAGCCATAACATAGGTAACCGAAAGTGAATGCAACTTATATAGCTTATATAGAGTTCGTAGGTTAGTTGGGGCCTGCAGTCCTATGTTTCTACTTTTTCATGAACGCAACGGTTAATAATCTAAGATAGAGAAACAGATCCTATCTCTAAAGGGGTTCGACTCAATATGTGTATCCTTTGGCCACCAATATAGCCTTCAAGCTGTCAACTGCTCCATCAACTTTTTGTTGACTTTATAGACCCACTTGTAGCCCACTATTGATTTCCCTAGAGGCAAGAAAAGCTCTATTTCTCTGACAGTGATATGCTGACAATCTTTTCTTTAAAATGGGGCATGTCAATTTTTTGCACTAGGAAGTATCTTTAATTGAATAATTTTGTCGACTACCATCACGCTTTTTGTTCCTATTCTTTTGTTTAGTCATCTTTGTGACAATAAAGGAGAATCGCTAATGGTCACAGACGGTTTGTACATTTCCTTTTCTATCTTTCACCCTTATAGGTGCTGTAGTGGAGTCAAAGGCTCAGTTAGTAGGGATACATGAGAGGGTCAGAAGTGATGTCGATGGGAGCATCCCAAGGACAGCCACTGGTCAAGCAAGTGTTTCTGTTGGCACTGTACAAGGAGGCAAACCTGTGCCAAGTGCGAGCTATCCTGGTGCAGAAGATGCAGCAGAGCTTCTGAGGTATGGATTATCATTTCAATTGAGGGGTCCATTATCTGAATCTCAACTTTGTGACTTGGATTAATATCAGTATAATTGTAAACTGAATGCTAGAATTAGTTATATATGTTTGGTTTTTAAATTTTCCATAAATTGTGCGGTTCACTTTAATGAAGTGTGGGCTTCACCTCTCGTTTTACACTTCAAACTCCATGGACCTTGTCATTTTTGTGTTTTTCACTTCTAAAAACACTGGATGAGACAATTTATTTTTCAGAATGTCGTTAATATTTGAAATACTTGTACGACTAGATACTTTTGATAGTTGACACACTACTAGAGGTTTTAATATTTCATACACCTTTCACTATCTCGAGATTTCAGGTGCATTTAACGCTTAAGTTTGAGCTACAATGTGATGTGTTGTCCTTTCCTAACCATATAATCAAGCTCCAGTACTTAATTTAACATTTTAATACTGTTATTAACACAATGTATAAGTCAAACTAAGTTATTAAGCTGTGCGATGGTGAAAATTGAAGACATAAAAAGCAGATGGAGGGGGTTTACTAAATAAGATAAACAATCCTACTGTAGACACCAGATTTATAGCTGCTGTATCCATTTGAATCATAAGTAAACAGGAGATGCTTTTTACAAAGGTGCAGCTGTTGGATCCAGTGAAGAGCGTAATTTGTTTTTGGTTGGTTTATTGCTGTGAACTTTTTGAGGTAGATGCAGTATATATTAAACATAACAGATTGGTGAAGATTTAGAGACTTCACCTTTTATTACCTTGACTGTTTGAGAAGGTTGAACATAAAATTCAGTAGATTGAAAAAAAAAATAGCATCCTTGTAAGACTTCCTGCATGCACTTTCATGTGTAGTATGTGGTTGCAGAAGTGTTTAGTATCTTGTTATCCTTTGAATCTCAGTTTTGTCAATCAAGCTATTAAAAACTCTTACCTATGTTTTTCCTGTGGGTGACCCCGCCTGCCTAGAAGGAAGGGCAGGGAGGCGACTGAGATTGATTGCATTCAAGCTCCAAGTCCGGACAATTTTTTGCTGTCTGGAATAATCACTTTGCACTAAGTTAATCATTTGCTTTGTTAGTTGTACTGAATTTACAATTTGCTTTAACGCTTAGACACTGTGACGAGACGAATTTATGGTGCAGTTTCTGTTATCAATTAAAGAGAACATCACTACTATTTAAAATATTTTTCTTGATTCAGCTTTTAATGTATCTCTCCTTTTATTAAGTGGTGATGACTTGTGAGATTTTATCTTTCTGTTCTTAAGCTGGAAACTTCCCAAATTGTTTTCAATTTGGACCCTTAGCACCAAGAGAAATCGGTAAAAAGGAAAAAGAAAAAGGATCATGCTTGATGGTTGGACTGGATCTATTAAACCAATACTCAGTTCATTTGTGTAATTCTATAGTTGTTGATAAGTTTGGAACCAAATTTAGGTTGACAACTTATAGAGGAGCAGCTACTGATTCTGCAAGAAGTATTTTTTGTTTGTTTTCATCTGTGGTGTATATAAGATTATCAATAGCTGGCATGCGGAGTGCTCAGAAAAACATAAATACATAACCATTGGATACATAATACCTATTCTAGCGTGATTTTATCCTGCAAGTAAGGTTTTTTNNGGGGATGGGGGGGGGATAGGTTATCGTGCACAGAAGTTTTTGCTTTTCAACACTTCATATTTATCTTGAACTCTCTGAGAGGTGATAGATTATAGTGATTTACTGTGGCTATTCCTATATGTGGTACCTGCAATTCAAGTGTCACGAGTTCATGCCGCCCATCTTGGCTACCGTACTGTGTTTCCCTAACCAAAAATGGCAGAGGAAATATGTCAAGCGGTGGACTCATACTTTTCTCATCCTGGTTCACCCTTTGTTGTGTTGGACTAGTGATGAATTTGGTCGTAGACGCCTAGATGCATTAGCTCGAATTTTTCTAAAAGTGTTCATTGCCATGGCAACACTGTGAACCCCATTACAATTTTCGTTCCCTCCGGGGTAGGGCAGTCCTGCAAAGTAACAACCGTTCCTCTATTTCACCTAGTATGTATTAGTTCTTTTTCTACAGACTGCTGAAGGAATTTTTTTTCTCTCTGTTGGATGAAGTATATGCCGCATTAGGATGTGATTAGGATTATACATCATTATATGACAATGTGACTATGTGTGCTAGTTCTTTTATTGAGAGTATTGATTGCAATTTTCTTCATAAAAAAAGAAGAGAGTATTGATTGCAATTTCATTTATATACTATCTTTTGATGAAATGCATCTTGTATTAGGATGTGCTTGAGGTGTGGAATTCCCAAAACATACACGCACGCAAGAGGGATGGTGTGCCCAGCATGCAGTGATCGCCCTGTAGACGCTGACGAAGAGCCAGTCAAGAAGAAGGGCTCTACCATTAAAGACAAGGAGAAGAATAAGAGGATGAAGGGGCAGTCGTCCCATGCATCATGGAAAAGCGAGACAGAAATGCATCTGCGCCAGCAATTTGACTAGTCAAGTTTAGAACAAGTTGGTCCAATTATATGTAAGGTCCTCCAGTGGCATAATCAATCGACTCTGTACTTTTAGCAGATATACTCGGCTGAAGTGAATCTAGGAATTGTGCAGTAATCTGTTTAAAGTGCATAACCCGTGATGTAGATTCTGGTTGGCATTATAAAGCTAAAGTGCCACCACTTTGTTCTTTCGCCTCTTTGTTCGTTTCCATCAAGATGTATCACATTTCAACAGAAATTGGGTTTTAGATACTTTTTGTTTGGAAGAAGTCGTGCAGCCAACAAGTGCTCCAGATAGAAAGGATTGCTCCTGTTAATGATCACTTGTTTTAGTTTCGTTATAGCAAATGATTGTTTGCCTTTTCTTCCATCATATCCAACGTATGCATTAATGTCTAAGCATACAACAGTGCCAGTGGTTTCTTGACACTGTTAAAATGATCTAAGCTAAACGAAAAACTGTTTAATTTTATCTAAAGGTAACTCATGATATGGGCTGTTGTTGTTGTTGTTGTTGTAACTCATGATATGATGAGGTGACATACCTCTGTTAAGCAGCTGCTTAGAAAAGACACTTTCTTTCAATAATACATCTAAGTAGGCCAGTTTCTTTCCGAGAGATCAAGTGAGAAATCCAGATATCTTATGATTAAATGCAAATAGTTCATTGAGGAAAAAATAGAGTAGGTGATTCTTCCCATCCACCTAAGCTTTGGTGGGCAGACTTACGGTATTTTGTGTTGGTGAGAGGTAGCAATGCTCGATGGAATTGTAGAAGTGCATTCAAGCTAAAGGGGTAAAAATGGTTTCTGAGAGAAGTGGTCGAAGCCAAGTATGGACTTGAGGAGGAATTTTGATGCACAAAAACCAAAGAAAATTTTCTTCTTGGGAAAACTTGATGAGACACTCATCTAGAGAGTTAGAACTTTTTTTTGGTCCTACTGTTGACTTCATCATACATCACGTAGATCAATTTCTCGACTTAATGAGATTTGTTTTATGATCATAGGACATTGTTGCCACAGAGATACGACTGGAAAATGGACAGAGTCAACCAATGCCTCGTAAGATTGTCTAATACTTACCGTTCTTTGACGGAACCTGATTCACTGGCGGGAAAGCTAATAAGAAATGAGTGTTATGCAGAAGTCCTATTGTAATTCACGAACGGTCATCAAATTTTTAGTTTACTGCACCAAAATCACTAAACTTTTTTGTCACTTAAAAATAAATAAACTTTTTCTACACTGCTCAGAAAATCAAAATGCTAGAAAAACACGTCAACCGACATAAAAAACCAAATAGACAATGCCAAAATACCAAGCTGACTATGCGATGCTAGCCGTGCGAATTTCAATTAGTCCCTAAACTTGGGATTTAATGCAGTATACTCATAAAATTCCGTAAATTATTTTTTCATTGTAAAACGTTACCGCATCCCCTATCTATCCGATAAATTTCTAGTGAAAATATTTTGTCGAGTAAGTTTTTCTAGATAAATATAACATTACATAAAAAATGTATCTCATATGATGGCATGGCATAGACACATCAATTAAAACAATTGTAAGGTAAAAAGAATTTACTTATCACATAAATTCTTTTACATGTACCGTTTCTCTTTCTCATATAATGACAAAACATAGCCATATAAACAAAAAATAAAAATTATCGTGAACGTATTGATAACATCATTTTACACTAACAATGTTTCTCATAGGCCAATTATAACCCCCAAAATCCCAACACTAGACTGTTCAAGAGAGAGAGAGAGAGAGCGCTAAGGCGCAAAAGTGTGGGCATCAACATAGTATACTCTAAGTCATCAATTGAGTAGAATTTACAATTGTTTGAGTCGCGGTTGCCAAGTATATTCAACCCTTTATTTCTCCACGTAGAACCACTGTTTAGGTCGACTCCACTATGCTGTCACTCTTTGATATGTTTGGCAATTGTTTTTTGTACATTCATACGCTCGTCATACTCTTATTCCCTGCAGAAAGAAAAAAAAACCTTCATCTTTAGGATGACACATTCACCTATTAGAACCAATAAAGCATGTTCAGCAGCTTCCCCAGCTACGTTATCTTCTTCCTGAATCCTGATGAAACAGCTACTGAGCTCACTATCTACGTGGAAATTAATATAAGCCCACCAATAGAAGAGGAAGGATAAAAACAAGCAACCTTGGATCTGTTTGTTGTTTTCATGTAAGCAAAATCACATCCCCAATTTAAAGAAAGAAAAAGAAAAGAGGAACCATTTATATAAATGCACTGCCTACACAGCAGAAAAAGGAAAAGGCATGTAATGAACTAATTCAAGGCTTGAAGCCTTGAAGATATCAGAATTATAGAAAATGCTCAGTTCTCAGATGGAATTAGGTGTACAAAATCTGCATACAGAAGAATGGATTATTGTGCATGGATCCTGTGAGTTAAAGTGGTAGTCACAAAGATGGATTGCAAAGTGAAGATAAAAAGAAACTGATTGTGAAAGCCCATTCAAAGAGATGCAACAAAATGGACTGGAAACATCTCCAATAAAACATCAAAAAACATGTAAAATACCTTGTAACTTGTTGTTGATAGGCCCTATACATGGGCCAGCATAATGATTGAATGGAGACACCACCATCGGTCTTGAAGCTTTTTTAAGTATTTAAGGTCAGTTATCGGCAACTTTTTGCTCTCGTTAGCTGCATTTCTCCACGACAAATCAAGTTCTCAGACATCACCAGCTGGCAACTCAGAGAACCATGGATCTGTTCATTGATTTATCAGGATAAGGTTTGATCCACCAGAATGTCAAACATGAATGTTGTTTAATATTAGAAGAGCTTATCGTGGAAGAGGACCTCAAGCCAAGGAATCAGGGGCAGGTGTTACAGATGAGCCAGGTGTTACAGATGAGCCTGAAGACCTGAGGAAGAGCAAATGTGCAATAGATCGATCTAAAGAATTGGTGTCTCTTTCCATGTCCATATACCCTTGCCACCTGCAATACAAGCCATTAGAATCTAGGAAAAATTGCGCGAATAGAATAGAATCTAGGAAAAATTACGCAGCACAACAAACATATACACTGTATTTGTCATTCGTAGCTTTACTTTCAGAAAATTACCAATTAGCTATATTTGAATTTTATACCAAATACAGGTAGATCAATAGTTTTGAACGGAAACAAAAGCACAAAAAGCTCTCGTAGCTCAATTGGTTAGAGCACCTGTTTAGTAAGCGGAAGTCTTGAGTTCGACTCTCTACGAGAGCATTCTATTTTTCTGTATTTTTGTATTTCGCTTTGGTTATAATCGTTTGGGCGAATTAATACAGTCGATACATATTGTATTCTTTGTATACACCAATCTATTTCGATGAAGTAATGAGTTTTATAGAAAAAGGCATAAGAAGATGCAAGAAGTACCCATGTATTTCGTCTTGGTTGCATTCGTTGTGCGAACGAATACAGTTGATACAAGTTATATTCGTTGCGCGAACAAATACAATTGACACATGTTGTATTCGTTGCGCGTCTGAATACAAGTGATACAAGCTGGTAACAATTGAACAGTAGCTAAGAACGGTAATTAGGCAAACTATAATTACGTATAGTAATTAGGCTCTAAACAGTAATACTTTATGATGTCTGCCAACTAACCCTCAACCTCCCCACTTCCCCCTCCCCCGACCCAGCCAAACAGAAAAAATGAAGACCCCCTAACTTGCTGGCTTAGTTTTTCACTAACTTGACCACCTACCTCTCCCTTTTCTTTCTGAAACCCAAAACAAAGAAAAAGAGGAATGTCTAATTTCCACAACCATCACTAACATGAACTAACAGTCCTATTCCTTCGCCTGGTAAGATTGAGCATAATACTATTATTTGGTCAACCAAACAAGCACAAATGAGATCTACCAACATTATTTGGCAGAAAAAACATGCTCCTACAGTACCATCCCGTCCATTGAGACACCTTGCTAAACTTGTGAACATGAGGTTTCTTAAGATACCAGAAACAGGAAAAAGGGGGAAACAAAAAGAACAGGAACTGCATTCTAAGGATTTAGAAAGACAGAGAAATGAAAAATGATACAAATTTTGAAAAAAAATGATGGAAGATTAGAGATATATTGGAAACTTGATAATTTGACAAATACAAGACATACCTATTAAAGGTGTCAAACACTATAAACGTGATATTTTTCCAATATACAGCAGTATCTTAATAAAAACTTAACAATTCTAGACTCGTAATTCCAACAACATGTATATTAATTTCAACAATCAATTCGAGTTTCCAACTGTCTATCCTTTTCTTTTTCCCCAAGCAATAACTTCTTGCACAGAAAACCCTGCTTCAGTCATTTTAGGCTGGGGAGGGGTAGTGGAGACTTGAGAGCACTGTCTACTTATCAACCATAGGGTGCAATCTTTGGAAACTAGAAACGGTAATTTAAAATCCACCCTTCCTGCTTATTTCTCTAGATTTTTGTGCACAGTTTAATGTTTATAATAGAACCTGAACAGTTCTACGCTGTACTATCGGGCTCCTTAATCACAAGACTTAGTATTGTACGTACTGTCTATTGTCCTGAAGAAGCCCAGGGGTGACCAGCCAATGGCAAACCTGGTACAAACTCTGTTTTCTAGCAAAATGCATAAATGATCAACGAGAAACCCTAATGGATAAAAAGGAATTGAGCAGAGTTCTGAACTTACACTACTAAACAGATGCCACTTTAAATTCGGGATACTATTCAGGCATTCACACAAAAGACCTCGCATCTGTGAGGTAAGCTAAATTAAGCTCAAACTTGATGCCAAAATACACATTTAACTGGCTGCTCACAGAAAGCTTGTCATACTTAATGCATTAGAACTTGTGCAATGCAAGAGCCAAGATCATGCGCTATCCTGAGAAAATATTAGGCATGCACATTAAAACAATTGTAATACGAGAGTCAAGATTATGAGATGTTTTGAGAAGAATGGCCCTTAGCGCTCAAGAAATAATCATACTTGTTTGTCCTTTTGCAAGTCAATGCTTGGCTTCTATCTCTATCATCTCCAGAGTTAATGACATTAGCATCTCTATGCCTTTGTTCAGCACTCTGAGCCAACCGGTACAAGCTATCCCTTATGCAGAGCTTTGTCCTTATATCCAACTAAACCAACAAAGTAAAACATAATTAGTTTTATAAAAATGTAAATACCGCGAATCAGTCAATTTTTCAGCAGGACTGCTAAATACTACACCTCAGCCAGAGGGGAGAGGATTCAGATTTGGATAATTCAAGCAAGCAAAAAACAAAATTTCAAAAAATAAAACAAAAGCTTTTGAGGTTTTACCCCATAAAGAAGCAACATATGTATGCAACTAGATGATGAGAAATGAAACAGTTTAGCTTTAGTATATCTCCAACAGCAACATGCCCAAAAAGACAACCCTGGTATAAGTGTGTATAACTGTAAGCCTATAATATACTATATCCATAACCACAGCAACATGTAAAATATTTCGAGCACATAATATGATCCTAGAGCAATAAATATATTTGCTTCAGATTTGAACCATCATATCTAAGGTCGGTTCGACATGTAAGGTTAAATAAAATATTCCAGCTTAAAGTAATGAACTCGCATCAAACAAGTTTGAACACATACTACTTCCGTAGAGGGACACTCGGACCAACAAAATAAGGCTTGTTTGACATGTAACTTTAAATTATTTTTCCAACTCAATTAATAAATTCATCACCAAACAAGATTGAAACACATGTGAATTTTATAGAGATTCTGTTTACCCGTTCTGTGACATGTTGAAGCTGATGAAATCCAGTAGTTTCTTCTGCTACTTCATCCAACCCAGAACTAATGGAAGTGCTCTCTGCTATAATTGAGGAACCTAATGCTGGTGGAATTCTCGTGCTAATGCCTTCAGGATCACTGCTATTTTCAAACTTAATTCCAGAATGCTGAAGCAGCTTCTCCTCCTCCTTTTCACTTGTTGTGATAGTACCTATCTGAAAAGAAGGATCAGGAGAGCTCTGCCTACACTGCAGATGATTTGGTGCATAGCAGTCCTTGAGTGAAAGGGACATGGAACCATCATTTCCAGATTTGGTAATCGATGAAGTTGGGTGATGGACAATTTGATCTGAACAACTGTAATCAGACATGTAAGAAACGCTACTATGTAAGTAAGCAGTCTCATGTTCGTGAGCTTCATTTTGCTGAGGAATACCCGATGATATCAAATTGCCTTTAGGTCCAGTGGCCTCAGTAGAATGTCTTCTCTCTTCTGAAAGGCCATCAATATTACGCAAGGCATCATCATTTTCTACAAAAACACATTTTCTCTTTCCTTCCGATTGGTTCTGGTGATTTGCGTGCTTCTTATTTATATTATTCTGTGGAGAACCACACAAGCAAAATTAATAAAAAGAGGGGGAATCATTGTTGAACTTTATGCAACAGCAGTCAAGATGAATGCACCCAATTTTTTTGACAAGATGACTCATAATATACAATTAGAAAGTCCACGTATCACAAATTAAGTAATGAAGAATGATATAAATTTTCAAAACAAGTTACCACACCCTAGGAAGAAGAATTTAAATTAATACTGGTACCGCACTTTCAGGATGAATTGAGCCCACACTAAGGTTATGAGATCTCATTTTACATAAACGCGCACGCACGCACGCAGAGAAAGATCATGTAACATGGAACTACCATCATTTTCAAAATTTACCATTACACTACCGCTGATCCTTGGTTGACTGTTATTCAACATCTCAACTTGGAGTCGATCAGAAAATTCTACTTTCTCCAAACGCCCACCTCAGAAGTAACTCAACACAGAACGCAAAGTAAGAGAGAAGAATTTGAAGTACACCAAGACAGAATTATACTCACTTTCTTTTGAGGTACTAGTTTGCACTCTGAATTACTTGATCCATTCACAAAAGACAGATGGCTCAGATTGGCCAATTCATCTTTCTGTGAGGGCCAAAAATTACCATTATAGCTAACTGGTTGACTTTTAATGCCAGAATCACTAATTGAACTGCCCATTTCCTCTGTTCTTGAAACTTCAAGACTGCCGTTATTTTCCACTGCACTGGATGTTGAGTTCTGACACTGAATATCTGACCTCAATCGATCTCCGGATCCTTCAATAGCATATGATGATAACCAACCAACGTCATCCTCATTGCTGGCTCCAAGTCCAAATGTTGAATCACAACTGCTGTAGAACATCACAATAGTGAGTACTAGTTTGAATAGAATTCCTCCTATTAAACATGAAAAAAAAAAATAGGACAATTGAAAGCTTCACCTCACTGAATATGAAGAAAACAATTACCTGAACATCATGTCAATATCCTCAAAGTTCCCCATCTCAGACCAGTTATAATACAAGAGATCATTAGTGTCTTTATCCACCCGGTTGTTGTCAAAACAACTCAGATCATCATTTACCAGAGAAATGGGACCAAGTGGAAAGCTACATGAGTTTTCCCCAATGGCAGCTTTCTTGTTGTCCAAAATGGGGCCATTTTGGCAGAAGTCACTGTCAATGGAGTCTACGTTTTTACGTTTGAAGCAATGATGCAATGTCCCAACATTTAATGAGCTTTTGCCACGGGTATTAGGCAACACAAAATCAGGTGCATCCGCCCATAAGTCCTCTTCTGACATCATGCTGCTGCTACTATTTAGTGGAGGAACTTCTTCTTGCTCCTATCACTGATTAAAATATTTAACTGTAGATTAATTTCCCACAATACTTGATTAAACCACCTCCTTGCACAGTTATCACTCTTGGAAGGAATTCACCAACACATCCACAATAGGATATTGCCTATATGATTATCACTATCACAAAACTTCTCCCCATCTTTAGCTTCTAGCTGTAATACCAGAATTTTAGCTGTAGTAACTGCAGAAAATATTTGTCAAAATGAGTTCATCAAGAATAGAATTTAATAAAGTTTAATTTGAAAAATGAAAAAAGCCAGATGAAAGTAGAATGATGATCTATACCAATCTAGAAGATACTAAAAGTCTAGCCTGTAAGTCCTGAGAGATTATGAGTCGTCACGGCTACTGAAAGACAACTTTACGGTATATTAACCTATTCTCAAAAAAAAATTTAAAAAAATTACAGTATATTAACTAGGCCTCCATACCAATTTGGCAAAGACCATTTACTGTATTGAGAGAAAATCAAGAAATTATAACTAAAGAATAAATTAAAAGGGGGGGGGGGGTGCAAGTCGTAAAAGGAGAAGGTGAAATAATTCAGATTCCAGACACAACATCCCAGTATAGTCCCACAAGTGAGGTCTGGGTAGGGTAGATAGAACGCAGACCTTGCCTGCCCCATACAGTGAATGTAGAGAGGTTGTTTCTAGTAGACCCTCGGCACAAGGAAAAATGAGAAAAGAGCAATAGCAACAAGCAATAACGAGAACAAAAAAAAGATAACAAGGCGAAAGGAATAACATGAAGATAGAAATCTACAATATCAGAATACAAGACTGCCACTAATAATGAGATTCCAGACACAATGGTCTCTTTTTCTCATTTGGTCTCTCTTTTGGCAGGAGGGAAAAGAATAATTAAAAGACGGTTGAACAAGCAGAAAAATGAGCAAATATCAGCTTAACAAGAAAAAGAGGAAACAGTGTTCATAAATCACTGGTATTTGCTAACTCAATTAAAGAGTAGTAATGGGACGTGGATATGAAGGTGGTAACGCTACCCTTTTTTATTTATTAATTAGAGGTACGCCTCTTTATTATGGAGAAAAAAACCTAGCTAAATTATTACAATAAGACTAACAAAAGAGTCTAGTATACAGTAATTAGTCGTTTATTATCTTCATAAAAATTATCATTTCTTTTACACTGAGAACATGTTATACGAGCCAAATTTCCTTTTACACTGACAATACTAAAATTATCATTTCTCAATCAGGTGCTAAATCGGGCTCAACTAAGTGAAATCATCAGTTAAAGAGGTATCACATAGAAACATTCAAAACAATAATTTCCAGATTAAAAGTTTCCTACTCTTTTCAGCAATAAATCAATTCACAAGCTGGAAACACTGAAAATACAGAAAATTTAGAAGAGTAAGATAATTTTACTGTCGGAAAACTCACCGGAAAACCAATAAATCTCGAGAAGAACGAACTTTGCCGGAAAATCAAAACTGTAATTCCAAAAACCCTAATTTGATTCTCAGGAAACACAGATCTATGTAGGGAGAGAGGAAAGAAGCTTTTTGTTTGCTTTGATATTATCTGGAAGATATATAATGTATTTTTAAATATTAATAAGTACGTGGAAAGCCAAGTGGGCAATGAGATCAAATTTGTGGCCTTAAGACTTCTAGGGGTTGTGGGGGTATCAAAATTCGTGGACGAGAGGAGAGGGTTAAGAAACGATCTGTTTTCGGTAATTCATTGGTTCACGTAAGAAGAAACCAACACGTGTCAGCTGCTTGCCATTCTGTCAGTTGAAACGACGTGCCGACGCCTACATTTCGGTCAATTTAAAGTTGATTTCTTTTTCACATTTAGTTTAGGGAAAAGGTGTAGATATACCCATGTACTATTAAAATTATCCACATATATACTAGTGAGATTTTATTGGGTTGTTGTTAGGGGTGTTCATGGTTCGGTTTGGATCGATTTTCCCTAAAAAGAAACCAAACCAAGTAAGTCGATTTTTCAAATATTAGAACCAAACCAAACCAATTATGTTGGTTTTTTCTCGATTCGGTTTATGTCGGGTTTTGTCGGTTTTTCAATTTTTTCGGTTATTTGTCGGGTTTTTTCTTAAATATAAGACATACACTACCAAACACATATTCCGGCGATCACATTTTCAAAGTAACACTATCAAATTAATTGCCCTTTGAGAAATCTATTAGTTACCAAGATATATTGATGATAATTGAATCAAATAGTGATGAATAATTTAAAGGCTCAATTAAAAATATATTATTTTTAACACGAAATGGATTCTTACACTTAACTAAAGAAAACTACCAATCAAACTAGAATGTAAAGGTAAAGAACTATACTAAAAGTGCAAACTATTAACATTTACCATAAAACATTTGAAACTTTGTATAAAATATACATATATATAGGTGTAATAATAAATTTGAAATAGTTACTCCTACAGTCGGTTTGGTTCGATTTTTCCCGATTTTTTTTCTGATTAAAACCAAAACCAAACCAAATTTGATCGGTTTTTAAAATTCAAAACCAAAACCAAACCAAACCAAAAAGTATCGGGTTTTTTGGTCAGTTTGGTTTGGTTTTCAGTTTGGTTCGATTTTTCGGATTTTTATGAACACCCCTAGTTGTTGTTGTTGTATATTGGTTCCAAATTTTTTTCTTTTAAATTTTGACAAAATATTCTAAATCTAACACAAATAAATAATTTCCAAAACACTTAAAGAACAAATCACAAAACCCCATTGCGTTGAGGTATGGCTAATATCAAAAAAATTCTCATATACTATTTTTTGGGGTCAATGTAGTGGCCAAGCAGTTAGAAAATATTGAATCTTTAGCTATAGAAATCCACGCCACATTGCATTACTTTTATTTAATCAAAGACATATGAACATATATTTCTCTAAACTGTCACACCTCTTTTTTTCCACACACAACCCTATTACGAGGTTGAGCTAGAAGAATTTTTCCAATTGAACTGACGTTTTTGAAAAAAGATTATTTATTATTTAGAATCGCCACTTGGAATTGAGTTTTGGTGTTCCAAGTCACCTTTTATTTGAATCCCCTTTTCAAAAGGAAGGTTTGACTCTTATTTATGGTCTACGAAAACAGAAGACTGAGTAAGGAATTCTGTTGAACGAGGGGAAGGTGTAAGGCACCTCTCGAGTCCCGTGGTTCTAGCACGGTCGCTTTATTGACTAATGTAAGGCTTAAATCAATTTTTAGTTATTCTTGTGTTTTTATTAATTATGGCTTATTTATTACCGCTTAATTAATTATTATATTTAATAATTGGGTTCACCAAGATGCGGAACGCATACAAGGTACTTCTTTGAAATTAAATATTAAACCAAGGTACGGAATGTACACATGGTTATAACATAATTATTTTAAATCTAAAGGCATCGAGACGCGGAACGCGCACATGATCCTTTTATTATTCAAGCATATCAATCCAAGGTTCAGGTATAAACACATAGGCTAATATTTAAAGTTCATCTAAAGTTTTTCTAGTGTTTTAGAGTTATCTTCCTAAACTAATTTGAGATTGTGGTGAGGTCATGATTTATGAAGTAAGGATTGAGGAAAGAGTGTAAGATTCCCACTTAAAGATTATTTACAAAGGCTAATTATATTACTAACTTATGAAAAACTATTTACAACTACCAAATTATTATCATTCTATATCTTGAAATTATATTAACCTCAATTAGTTATAAGAAATGGGCTAATTATACTCCTAAAATAAAATCGGCAATTTATTGTTAAGAAAGTAGGCAAGTCTTTTATTATCATATTTTGGAGTACATTTGAAAATCTACAAAGACATGAAAATCGATAAACTCATTTGCTGTTATTTTTGTAATTATAAGAATAATACGTTTTGTTTATTTATTTATTTATTAAGTTTTTGCTTTTGAGTTTTCTTTTGTTTCGTCTTTTAGAAAATATTATATTAGTCCATGAGCAAAAGTTTGGTAATTATATTTAACTTGAACCGACACCCAAATAAATATACAGCTCACTCTAGTTCGAAAAAGAATACTCAGAATAACTCAAAGACACAGAAATTGAAATAAAAGATGAAGCCGAAATTAATCAGAATCAACAAAACTATCTTTCATGTTGATGATGAAAATTCGAATATTACCTTTTTGTGAAGCTTTTTACAATAAAATTACAGCCACAATCTACTGATTTCCAAAGCTAGCAATGCTGACTTTTCTAGAACCTCGAACTCGGAACCACGAACGGAACCTCGAACGCCATCTTCGAACAATTTTTCTCCTTCTTTTCGTTCTCTGCATTTCCCCCCGTTCTATTCCCCTCTCTCCTCTAATTTGTGAGGTGTGTGTATTATATATAGATAGGTGTGTGCAGATGAGTGTGTGTGAGATCATGTGATTGAGGGGATATGGGGTTTAGGACGTGAGGAGTGGGATGTGTGTGCAACATGTGTGAGTGGCCGGAAGAATAGTGTGTGCAAGTGTGTAGTGCAGTGTAAAATTGGGGACATTGGGGTTGGGATTTATGTGAGGCTACGTGAGGTAATGGGTAGGTGATTTTGTTTTAATTGTAAAATTTATTACTAAAATGTTTGAAAGTNTTCCGATCAAAAAAATAAATAAGAAATCTAACTAATTATATATAATTTATATAATACTAAGAAAAATACACAGCTTACTCATTAAAATTCCAATTAAAAAAAACCATATACATACATACATATATATATATATATATATATATATATATATATATATATATATAGATTTGTGTATATATTTTTTCTAAATAGAAATAAAATTTACACTCTAAGAATGTGAGTATTTTATATATATTCGAATAAAACCTATTAAAAGTGATAAAAGTTTAAATATTAAAATTAAATCTAAAAGAAATATTTACACAAAAATAGTATAAAATTCGGGTGTGGTCAAAAATTAGGTGTTCACATAAACAAAAACCAATAAATTAAGTATGTAATTAACGATTAAAAAGATTAAAAAATATTAGGGTAATGCCATTGACAAATAGGGATGTGTGGTCCACTGGTTTGATGATCTTTTTGTCCTCTTGATGGTCGTATGTTCAATTCTTAGTAGATGCACCATTGTTTTTTTATTACCTCAAACTGACACTAACCCCAAGTCTCAACCATTCAACAAAGTTTATTAAACGAAATAAAGATAAATAAGCATTAAAAATACCATATAAACTACGAGAAATTATTCGCTTGTATCTTCGAAAATGATAATATTAATGTATTTGATGTATTTTATAAAGATGTTCATATTATAGTAATTTTTTATTAGTTCACTTTTTAAAATATCGACACCGCTTAAAATCCTGCGTACGCCCCTGCGTTGATGAACGAAGTAAAGTGGGTCAATAATGACTATATATCCATTTACATTTCATAGTGGTGGTGAATAATCTTTATTTACTTAAGATTTGATTTTTTCAAAAATGACAAAGAATCATCTTAAACACATTGCTCGAATTTCTTTTTTTTTTTGAAATAAAATGAGCTATATTTTTGTTTGCTACTTTCTCAATGGCTGTTATTTAGTCTACAAATATGTACTCAAGGAAGGATTATTAATCTCTTTCATTAATTTGTAAGGTCGGAATAACCTGGGGTTTTCCAAGTTCACAAATTTAAGGTATGAGGAGGGAAGAAGAAATGGAAGGGGAAGAAAACGGTGATGTGGCATGCTACGTGGTATTCACCTCACCCAACCCAAATGTCACACCATGTAGGATTTGGATTGTCATGGTGGAGCACCGTTAGAAATAAGAGTATTTTTTATTACTTTACCAACGGGAAGGGTAAATTTAAGCCGATAGTATAACAGAGGACATATGTGGACAATTTTTAATAATAAAGGGATATATCTGGCCATTTTCCCTTTATTCTATCTACTAGTTATGTTTGGCCCGTGATGTGCCCGGGCCCAATTATTGCATTGAATTTTTTGTTGTTACAGACAAATTAGTTAATGTACAAGTTCAAATTTTAGCCAAAATCATTTTTCTTGCATAATGATTTATTGCGCTCAGTGGAAAAAAAAATTCTCAGCTCTGTGGTCATTATTAGTTCAGCAAATGGTAGTGTTTTTGAAGATTTTTTTAAGAATTCACCTATTTTTCCTTTTAAATTATAGAGTAGGTTTATAGAGTTGTCGACATAATATGATAAATGAGTTGGAACTGCCGAATATAAGACATTTTTCTATTAAGTAAGTGTAACCAATTTCCTTTTGTAATATTCTATTGATTTTATTTTTCATATTAAACCAGATTGAAGACAATGTGTTATTATTAGTTCAACTATCTTTCACCACTGTTTGTTTAAGTTATGTCCTAGAAGTGGACATTTGTAACTAAGAATAGCTTTTAAGAGTGAAAACATTAAGTTTGTTCTGCAAAGTGTAAATATTTTTCCAAACTTTTTCTAACTTTACACTTAGAATTAAACTATAGCATTAATCTGGTGCAAACACCATATGAAAGTATATTTTTGGAGCTACCCGTAGTTGCTAGTAACCTAATTAAAATTTCAAATTTAAAGGTCGAAAATCAGCATGCGCTGATAA